AATATGTCTGTTGATGTGCTATTAGGAGAAAAACCAACTTTCATTTTTCATCAGATAATTTCATAAACTGCCATTGTCTTTCCAAAATTTTAGCAGACTATAGTATTACGTTTCAGGAATCCATCATGTGGATGAAATTTTCCCGCGGACCGGCAAAAAACGTCTGCAAAGAGGTGCTGGTCCGCGGACGCGGGTTGGGAACACTGATTTAAAGCTTGAAGTTCCAACCGCCTAATAATTTTCCCGGCATCACGGCTGTACATCATAATCAACATCATAATTACCCTCTTCTTTTACGATTTTTTGCTCTTTTCAAATACGAATACTGTACAATGTAGTACTGTACATGAAATATCGTGCAGTGGAGTGATAGAAAGGATATAAAACATGATTTTAGAAGTACTGATCGAACTGTCAGTTTATTTATATTCTTTCTATGGCATGGCAATAAGTGAGAGCAATCAGCAGGGACCAATTTGAAAATTACAGTGCACGACTCAGTCCAGAATTACTTATTTATTGAAAGAATGAGTACTGTTATTCTGGATAATGGAAGTCAAGTAAAGTGCAGTATTATCGCACGGTTCGTGAACACCAGTACGTCAGTGATTTGAAAGAGAATTCTTTTCAAATTTGCAGGTCGACATCCATAAGGCGGGAATCAAGGCTTTTTCGCGACATGGTTTGCACGGTAGCCAGAAGAAGCGTGTCAACTTCGCTGACGAACCGACGTGCAGCTCCTAATTTCCAGATTGCGTCGTTCAGGTGGGTTCCTCTTCACACTACTTTCTATCCCTTTTCTCTATGCTGTTTCATCTGCAATCCTGACTTTCAAGAGCGAGGAAACGATGCGATGTGCATCTAATTAAGAGCGAGAACGTGCCCTACGTTCAAACCGAAAGAAAAACATCTGGATGGGCTCGAAATTCAGTCCTTCGCGTGTGATGGACCGGAGAGTCGCATTTTATTTCAAATTCAGACGTTTACGTTCGTCTATTTTCATTATTTTTCCTCCCTTACCCTTTTATACTGTAGCATGCACGCGTGGATTGTCCCGTCCGATGTGAACTGAATCACATGCTCCAGCCGTTCGACCCAAAAGTGGTTGAAACTTGTTCACGGCGCGAAGGCCTTCGGTTCGAGTTTCGCGTGGCTTTTATCGACTTCCGAGACTTTAGATCTACTGAAAATTCTTCGTTGAAGTAACTTTTTTGTGTGCTCGGGTACCTGAATAGATCCCAGCAGGTGCGATAAAGCCCTCTGTGCTCATCTCCTTCGGAAGTCATCCGCTCCCGTCATAAGTAACCCTCTTCTCTCATTGTGTTGGGTGCTGATCCACGTGCTGTTAAGACGCTTTGATCTTTCTCGTTTTATTTTTCATCATTTGTCCGTTTCGATGGAGCGAAGTGCAGCTGAACTTCTCTTCCGCCCAATCTCGTTTGATCTGCTGCTTGTGACTATCCGAGAGCATCTCCAGAAGCCTTCTTCAAATCTTCGGGATGTGCGTTTTTCAGGAATGACCTCTAAGAATTTATTTGGAATAGAATTCAACTGAATGAGCAATTCTCTCTATGCACGTTTGATCCAAAAGCGAAGCTGGCCGTTGAAAGACGAACTGACGCTGAATAAGTTCTTAATTCAAGAGAATGCGACAGAATCCGGTGATTTTGGAAATTTCGTTCCACTTCTAGACAAAATGACGCTTGATTTCACGATTTAACAGATCTGAAAATATTGACTACATTTGCTGTAAAATATATTTTAGTTTGTTCCCTCGCTTGGATTTCGTTGGAATAGTGTTCGAAATTATACTTCATGAGCTCTGAAGGAGATAAATCCTGTGATAAGAAGCACGGCGAGAGAACATGTGGCCAAGAAATCCAGACTTTTAAACTTTAATTATTAATTTATCTTTAATTAATTTTATGTTACATCAAGCCAAAATAGTTACATTCGATTTCGCTGAGCATGAGTTTGACAATGCAGAGTGACTTTTGTAAGTCTGAACCAATCGATGTCCACTTGTTACATCGTACACTTCCTGAGAGATTTCTTAGTTTTGTACATTTTATTTCTTGGTTGTTCGCAATGACAAAAGAATTCTAGTTATATATCCAGTGTATACAGTGACAGACTGATTCTCGTCAATGAAACAAATATTCATCATTTTTAGGAGTGATTAAAAGTTTTCCCACATTATGTTACGAGTTTTCTCCCAAAGCTGAATGTAAATTAACCGCATACTATGGGTGACAATTTTCCAGAATAAAATGCCTCTGGTTTAACTTGTATAGCACACCTCCATTCTTTGTGCTTCGAAAATGGTAATGTTTTTGCGTGCGAATGTCAGACGCATTCTTATATTTTTCGATTTTTCGACATTAGAGAACCGTTACTTGAAAAAAATTGAGAGGAAGGGTTCTTTTATTCTAATTTTTTCTAAATTTCAGTTTCTTATTCCACAAAGGCTTCCAAGAACGAAAGCTACGAATCTCAGACGTCAATAAGTCAAAATAATTCAAGGATCAAAACTTTTGGATCAAGCCTGATTCATTTGGCCATTTTTCACAAAAAGTGTCACATATAATTTCCTTAATTACAGCAAGCAAATATACTGCTACCAAGGTTAATCAAAGACAGAGACGATCCCTCCCTGCATTACAATTATAGACACATTTATGAGCCAAGTTCAAATCAAAGGGATATGCAGCTGCTCAAATAGAAAATACTCCTCATTCCCAGCTCATCTAGTTCGTGATCGAGGGTAATCAAATGTTGATTAAAAGTCAGGTGATAGGGGTTAAATCGTACAGGACTTTATTTCCTCTGAAATGTTCAACGCGAAGTGAATTTAGCGTTCGTGTTGATGTTCCGTTATTAGTGATGTCTCGGGAACGGCCCTGGGATCTTTTAACGCGTGAGCGGTAGCCCAATAAGTTCGCGGGAGGGACGCCACCATCATCGGGTTGGGCGCACCAAAATCGTCAAGCAGGATACATATTCCAGGTTTCCAGCCATGTCCACAAACTGATTCTCTCTGGGGTCGGAAGCACCGCCATGCCGCGATGAAGGCGTTTCTAAACGTGAACATTTCATGAGAAATGCGGAGACACGGGGCCTCGTCCCGTGACACCAGCAGTCCGTGGCATCTGTCGAGCGCCCCGCACCTCCCGCCGCGCCGTTTCAAAGCGCCGGATCCCCATCTCGCATCCGCCTATAGATCACCTCGTGTCGCCAACTGCTCCTATTGCCGACGCATCCTGGAAGACACTTGGTTGGCAGGCAATCATGGGTTCGGCGGCGGGGATGGGGCTTCCCGGGAAATTCCGTTTTGTCATCTCGTGATTCCATTTCCTGCCGGTGGCGCGGATTCGGGGATTTAGCGACTTGAGTGCATCAAAGTTTATTCGATCAACCCACCAGGTGCGGAAACTAGAAGAAGGGCACAGTGCCGCTTTTATCGTATTTAATAGAATGTAAAACGCATAATTTGTTTCGTAGAAATCGGCTTTAAAATCCATAGCTCGTTCTGTACCTATTCCCCTCTTGCATTGCCTCCCATCTTACATTCAAACGTGTCTGAGGTTTGAAGGTACAATCCTTCGTCCTTTCAAATAATTCTGATAAATTGTCGTAAGCTCCGACTCAATAAAAAAAATCGTCATTACAATTGCCTGCGAGGAGGAACGGCAGGCTTACTCCAGATTTATCTCGGCTCTGTTGATGAGATGAATTCATTTCCCCAACTTTTGCCTCTCAATTCTCGAACAAAAGAAGAAGATGCCTTTCATAATTGTTGGCGTCTTATTTTTAAATGAAGGAGTAATTTAATTACAGATAGTTTTTTGAAGGACGATAATCTATCCGTATGTGGAAACCTGATTCTGGGTTGAACATAGAGAAGAATGTAATTAGCGTCTCAATTTATTTTGAGTCCAATTTTTTGTCACCTATCCAGTTTATTTCCTCAAATATGCCGACGTCGTCGACGACCATAATTAGAGGGAATTATATGACCAATATTCAGGCGCTACCTATATACTGGCGTTCGACCCACAGTCTTGTGGAAACAGTACTGTCAACTGAACCTATTACAATACTGTACATTCGTACAATCTGCTGAAAACCTATCCTTCTTTCGGAATAAATTCCTGAATTACCCGTGAGACAGTTTCAATTACTCGACGCTGGAACTGAACTTGCTCAAGCACGAATGAGAAGCGAAAAAACGTAAAGAATCCGCAGTAATGATTTCGAACCGCTTCCGAGAAATTAGTTTGGTCGATAAAATTCTCGTTCCCGGTGTGTCACTTTTCTAGAGCTCTGTGAAAACTAAGTTGCTGAGTACACAGCGGGATCCGCGATAAGATCCTCCACTTACTTCGCCGCAGAGCTCGAGAAAGCGCAAGCACATTTCGAAGTGTTTGTTATGATTGCATGTTGACTGACACCGAAGAACCATACTTCTAGAAGGAGGCGAGAAGAAAAGCAGGGTTGGGTCCTGCGTTGAAATGATCTGAGGCAGACGAGGCTTCTTCCACTGTCATGGGCTCCTGGAAAAAGAGTCTCCTTATTCGCGGACATATAAGAAGGAGGCAAAACGTGAACTTCGTTGCTGTAATTGGAGTGAGAGATGCAAAGAGAAATGTTCATTGGAATCCCCCGCGAATGTCATATCAAAAGCGGGAGCACGGCATGCATGTGCTTTTCAAAACACTTCCCATTCAGGTTTAAACCCCTTGGCTTGGGAGCGGAATATTCTTTCTCGTGTGCCCGGAAGTTTGTTGCCCAACTAACGAACGACGCATATTCCATCCCATGCGTCACACAGGCGGGTTTTCTTCACACACACACACACGAACCCGTCGCTTTTCTCCTCTTTTTTTTCGTCTCTCGTTGGATCCGCAGCTGATGTGGAATCTCGGGTCTGCTTCGAGGGATTCCATCAGTGCCATCCCCGTTTTTTCCCCTTGTGCTTATCGCTTCATTTAGCCCGTTACATGGAGCACGCTCAGCGCTCCAACGCGGAAGAAGTTGACTGGAAAGCTGGTTATAGAAATAATTTTCTCGCGTCGTAAATTAACTTACCATATTGTCCCTAATGCCTCGCGACAAATTGACCCGCCTCCATTCTCTCCTAAATAAGCTTATGGTTCCCATCGAACTGTTGTTCTTCATGAATCTTAAATATACGAGGTCCGATCAAACTTATTCAAAAGTGTTTCATTAAAAAATTATAGACCTTAGAAAAAAACAGGATGCGAGTATTTGGTTGATTTTTTTAACAATATTTCCGGAGAATCAAAGTTATAGGATTATTGACCGAACTTCGATAAGGGAAAAATATCGATCGATCGCAGCATAAAAATGGGGGATGTAAAAACGAATATGTGGCGAACGCATATTAATTCCCAGTAACATTTAAAAAAATTGTAATAGTTTTAAAATTTTATGAGCTTTTTCAGAAATGTAGGAAAAATTGGAACAGCCGAAGATAACCCAAAAAATCTCCCTGAGGTTTTTCATTTTTAAGATTGTTTGTTTGTCTTATTTCACACTTTAAATTCACAGGAACGCTATCATAAATCACATTATGAAACCTATGCGGCCTTTTCTCGAATATGTCGACCCTAATATTCGAATATTTTGGCCATGATAAGCGCCAATGTGATAAAAATAAAGTTGGGCTTTCAATCGTTCGAATATATACTGGGTATATCTATTAAAAGTTATCGTGAAGAATTTCTTTCTTAATCTGAATCTCTCGCAAATCAATCCTTTTAGCCTACTAAATCATTTTCTGGGAAAGATGAAAATAGCGGCGATTTCTGACATTTTCTGATCTCGTTACGTAAAAAACGGAGCTATCTTCCCCGAAGCTTTTATTTTTCAGAAAAGGGTCACCTGAAGGGCTGCTATTCACAGGGTAGTGTTCGTTGATGAACACATGACGTTGCATATGCGCAAAAGGTCACAGGCATTAATAAAAAGGGAGAGAAAAAAGTCTCGAGAGAAACATTTTCATCAGGCTTGACGTTACAGACTGACGCGACTCTCCATGTCTTCAGCTGGGACGAGCTTTTATTTTGATATAGAGCGCAGTGGGTAAACGATGACGTTGAAGTGGTTTTTCTGAACACGGCGAATATTCCCATTTATTCTTCCTTCCTTGAAAGCAGGAGGAAAAGGATGAAGGGCATTCACCAACGCAGTTCTCCAGGTGCATCGCTGCAAAAGGAGAATTGCTGATCGTTGCGAGATGCTCCGACGAGGAGCAACCGCAGCGCTTTGCAGGATACCGCTCTACATCAAACGGAAAACCGGAATTTCTTTTTGTACCACAAGACCATGCAGTATAAACGGCAGCTTTTTCGTACGTGTGATGATCTCAACAAGGAGTTGGATGCACGAAGCTAATGGTGGCACGGAAGTGCAGCTCGGCTGAAGACGGCGGACGAGCGCTTCGGAGTGAATGAAGAATGAGGGGCGGCGTTCATTGTCGACGGAATCGCGTTACTTGGATCCCAAATTTTTTGTTGTGTTTTTTATTATCGCGATTCCTTGTTGTTTAATCTCGTGTCAATCGATATCTGCCCGTGTCTTCGGTCAGCGTGCGGTATTTTTGTCGGGAGTGGATGCTTCACCAGCGCTTGCTTCATTTGCTTTCTTTTCCTGCTCGTACCCCAGGACGAACCCTTTACATGAAGCGATGAAGAGTGCGATGAGATTGTGACTTGGATTTGATAATGCGTTGATCGTCATTGTTGGACTTTTTAAATATGCGCATGGCGCGGCTGTGAAGAGTAAAAAAAGAATTCCTTGCATTACTGTCTTGCAACCGAGGTTTTCCTTTCTTTCTTCTTAAAAGATGTGTCTAAAACACTTTTTTTTTTCTAGCCAAGAGGGATCCTTCAACTGCAGAATGAAAGGATTCAGCCCTGAAGTTTTGAATCTGCATGCAATTCAGAAAACCGCGTTTCAAGGATAGAGAATAATTCCACATCCCGTCACGCCAAACCAATGTACATCGCAATGGGAAATTCAAATTCATCACTAGGCAGCATCTCTCACAGAAAGATGGCATAGTATACAATGAAAGAAGAAGCTTTTCATACTCAAAGAATATAGAAAAGAAAAACATTGTATTTGGATTAGAAAATATATCGAAACTTGTATCGAAACTTCATGCTCTATATGCATCAAACACAACGCAAAAATGTATTTATAAATTACTGTATGTCGGAGAAATTACTGAATTTGTTTTCAATTATCCTGAGACACGAACATTTTGCCGAAATATTGTATTCGAAATCTATTTTCGAAAGCGGGAATGAGGCACTCGTTTTTCCCAGTTCATTTTGAGTAAAAGAGTATCAGTTCCGCTTTATTTACGTTGTTTTTTTTCATTTTCATTTTTTCAGATGACTCAATTTGACCCAATTGACGTCAACATTTTTTTTATTTACATGTTCATCAATAAAAGCAAGCAGGACTGCCACTTGAATGTAAGTTTTGCCGCTGTACCGCTGTCTCAGTTTTCTCTGCCATTCTTTCAAAAAGTTGCAGTGAAGTACTGAAGCATTTTTGCGGGAACATGAAAATACTTTTCCCAAAAATTATTCACTTTTATTTGCTGATTGTGTTCGTCATTTGGATAACTTTAACCGGTACATTGAACCTCCGGACAACACCACTACAAACCTGAAAAAAACACTACACGTATGCGGCAAATTTATCTCCGTGTATACGGCACTTGTTTTAAACTCGCGTAATGGTCAAATACTCATATATACTTTGTAGTAAAGTGAATTTGGAAAGAATTTCAAATGAAATAGGATTTCATTCAACGGCTGATTGAGTAAGCTTCAATGTTCCATTGTAAAGAAGGCGATGTCTAAATTCATCCATGATATACGACTGTTCAGAAGTCATCGGATGTTTTCCTGCACATCCTGTAAATGTGGCTGCTGATTGCATATATCAGAAGACAATTTCAATTGGGTGCATCTTTCTAAACCTTCAAAATACATGCCAAATAAGTACTGCTTGTGTTCGCCGGCACCTGGAATATACCGAACGAAACAGTAATTTTCAATTGACATAGAGATAACATGTTTCCTGTTTTCCCTTTCTGCACATACAAGTAGTATGCATATGCTAATCTCCATAAAACAGTATTTCATCTCGTAATATGTAGTCCTGTTGAACCGTATTTTCCTCCCCGAAGTCTGACGAGAGACCATGGCCACTTTATTTGGTGATTCAAAATAAACTGTAAAATCTGAATCTCAAAATATTTTGCAACATTCGTCAATTGACTAAAACGCACACGGAATGCTGGTACATACCTGGAGTTTTGTCGAAGAGAAGCGAAGCATTCCTCTTGCTCGCGAAATTCAGGTCATGAAAAATCCGCACACTTACATGAAAGAGGTGTCCACGGAGGCGTTCCTCACTTGTAAGTACCCGCACGTGTAAAGTGTACCCGCCTACGGTGAGAAGTACATGCATCCGTCGTCCAACAAGTGCCTCATCAACAAAACACAGCGAGAAAGCCTTCCTTCCGCCAGGAAATTCTTCTCCGAGGTGACGTGTTAACAATACCTTTGTCGAAGGCGAGGGTAAAGCGCTTTTACCACTTCCCCTGTCATATAGGTCATCCCTACTGAGCGAGATAATTGCCTACTGGCGAAGCCTTCCCGGAGATCCCACCCACGCTTCGGCTGTTGGAAGCTGAGCTTTTCTTGAAATTGAAAGCTGACGCGCTTGGAAATCTCCCCCGAGTGAAAGAGAATCCACGTGACGTACTTTTTCCCCCGATTTCAAAACAAGGCGGACTCGTTGAAGGGAATTATGGATCCACAGAAAAACGAAAGAACAGCCCCTTTTAATTTAAAGTTTCGAGTCAATTTCGGGTTCAATGTTGAGCGCTAGAATAAGAATTACGTTAAAAGTTTTCAATTTCACGTAACATACATTTTTTCATATGCAGAACATTTCACTCGCGGAGGAAATATGATGGAAACTCTTGGAAGCAAATATTTTCTTCCCCGGAAACTCCTTCACATTCGTTTTATACATATGCAATTTTCAGAGTCAACTTGGTACAACGCGTCATTAAAACCACTCACTCAGACATTGAAGCCGTTTCGAAATGTGATGATACTCTAAAATAAAGAACACAATTAGGTCAGCCTAATTAGCGCCGCGTATCCCTTGTCTCGCGGTTACCCTATAAATTGCATGTATTGCAAGGTAATGGAAGAGTGAAAAGTTATGAGGATCGAGACACTTTCTTTTTGAAATTTCAAACATCATTCTTGACTCGGAAATTTCATTCACTTCAAGCCTACTTCGTTGAGTCAAAAAAAGTTCGATCTTTCAAATTCTATAGAGCCAGTTTCATAGTTTTAAAATGCCGTAGCGATCATTCACCAATGTGCTATACTGTATGCTCCAAAAATCTGTGAATATAGGTGGCTGTCGCAGTGTCGCATCACATGTACAGTAATTCTATTTCTTGAAGTAGAGGGTGGAACGCTCCGAAAGAATGAGGAGTATCCTGGGAACATCCAAAGAACCCCAAATGCCGGGTGCCTAGCATGGAAAGGGACACAGTACTGTATTTTGGCCATGCCCAGAATACTTGACAGCAGATTCCTTTTGCAGGCACCTGAGAAATAGAAGGAAATCACTAGTATCTATGGTGAAGAAAGCGTATATCGTCTGTCAAAATGTGAAGGATGAGGCAGGGCATTTGTTTCATTCTATGGAGAAACATTATTATCCCTCCCCAGTCCCCAGCAGTCGACTCATTTTTAAATTTTAGTGAATGTAAAGTACATATGGCCACATTTTTACATTCAACATTTTAGTGGAGATGAAACACAGAAGGCCACAGACTTGACATCTTCTCTCCGAGGTGTCAAAAATAGTTGGATAACGATGAT